GAGTGAGCCGACATCAAGCCTGGTCCTGGTCCTTGGCGCAACACACCCGTGGTGAGACATTGGACAGAACGCCTCAACCGAATGCCTAAAATCCTACAGCTCAGCCAGCTCTGCGGAGGAAGCTCATTTCACCTCTTTGCATCCAAGATCTTGTTCTTTCAATCATGATCCGTATCTCAAACTCAGACTCCCATCCCATCTCATCATTAGTGTCATTCTGTTGTGGAAAGTCAAAGCAGATATGGAACATAAAAACAGAGCGACTGCCCAAACGAGTCCTTCTTACTACATTTATATTCGCTCATTTCTGCATGGCTTTTAGCCCGTGGGATTCAAAGTCACTGTGGAGGAAATAAACACCCACAAGCTGTAGACCCCCGCGCCTGGCTCAAACAGAGGAGACAGATTTTTTTATCACAGAGAATAACAACCTTATACATAAAGACAGACGGCCTGTGTCATCTACGCGGAGCATGTTTCTGCCAACCAAAACGTAAACATAACCTCGGGTTCCCAATTTCTCCGGTAGACACGACGATAAGTCCTGCTGGACCTGGCAGAACTCCTTGCTGTCAGTCACACGCAGTTTACTCCGGCTAATGACGGATCGCTTTCATCCTCAGAAGCCCGACACCTCTCCGTTTCCTTCGTTAAGACGCAGTAACTCAAAAGCTCCCCCAGTGTGGACTTTGCCTCCTGTTGCCATGGAAATAAGGAAGGAGAAATGTGACGGAAGAAAAAGCAAACCGGGTTCAGAGGAACAGGTTTGATAATGAGTGATCAGAGGAGGCAAACAGTACAGAAGAAATAGGAAAGTGTGAAAGCAGCCGTTACATGAGCTGGAGCCACGGCCATAAATCCACCAAATCTAAAAAAAGAGATTCAGATGTCAGCGCAGGAAAAAGCTGCTGGGTGTTACCTGTGATGATTGTGATGTTTTCTGATCTTTAAGACACTTGCTGCTCAGTTTTTTGTTTTTTGTTTTTTTAAAAGCCAAATGTAAATAAACCCAATACTTGACATTGTAAAGTATTCATTCTCCTTTAACTTTCCCCATAGTATCCTTTAATAACCACAAACTGGCGTATTTCACTGGTATTTTGGAGCATTTTCATACTTAGACACCGTTTTTGCCAGACAGCTCAAGTTCAGTCAAGAATGCTTTTACACTTTTCAACATATTTCTCATTTTCTGATATTTGAACCTGCAGCATCTAACCGATCTATAGATGCTGGAAGTTCTGCAAAGAAAAAAAACTGTATCCTATGTGAGCTCTCGTCTCTTCTGGGCAGATTTTATGAGGTAAAACAAAACTGAGATCATGTAAAACTTTACAAGGCTTTTATCATAGAACTATCACTGTCAGTGTACGACTATACTCATAAAATGACTTCATCAGCCTTTATCTATACACCTATGCACCTAAAAGCAACAGTCACGCCTAATATGTGCAGTTTAAAAGGCGTGACTGTTTCATTTTGGACTTTTTATCTCGTTGTCAAACCTTTTTCTCAAGAAATGCAAAGACTAAAATGAGATAATCAGTAAATCCGTACTGATTTGCATTCAGTTTCCTAACTGAATGCAAACTATCACAGTCAACAATGAGCTGCTTTGGTTTCTTGGTGGATAAGGTCTGTGGTGCAAATGGCTTTTACCTGGCAGGAGCCATTTTTATATGTGGACCTTGACTTCCTGAGGACCTTCTGTGTAAGAGAATCAAGACGAATCTCAATCTCTGGAGTTTATATAAGAGCTCCAATGACTCAGAGCAAAGATTAGAGCTATTTAAAGTCCAGTTACTCCACAACCTCTGCTTAGAGCTTTCAGATTAGATTACAGCTCAGAGGAAGCTGAAAGAGGATTGTTCAAGTTAAACAGATGAGAAAATAAAACCTCACTGCTGCCAGAGGTTGAGTCCAAATTCATACAGTGAGGGTGTTGTGATTGAGTAGGCATATTTACATTCTTTAATACGGTCTGGGTTTGAAATGACAACAGGATTTCCAGATTCTTCTAAACAGGGATCAGTGGATCCTGTGACCACAAAGTCTTCAGCCAGACTTGCTACAAAGACTAAAAGACTCAAAAACATCTTCCTCCTTGAATAAGCACTTTTGAACAAAAATATTTGTCTGAAATTAGACCATAGCTCAAGACACTGTTCACGGTATAATCATTATAGGAAGTTCAGGAAGTCCTTTTAAGAAAACCTGCTGAAGCATAGATCAATGTGCTCCAACTTTGTTTTGGTTGTTGGTGCGTCATACTGCATTTACTGTTCAAATAAAAGGCAACCAGGTTGGTACCACAGTTTGAGAACCTTGGGATTAAATAATCTTAAAACACTTTCAAATTTGAACACATGTATAGGAGAAGTTCTGGTACTTTGGAGAACTGGAGCGCAAAACTTCATTTGAATCCATCTAAAGTCTGCAGCAATGAATTTAACACCACATTTATTATTTCAGACATATCTGCTATAGCCCATGAAATCTTTACAAGCTGCCACTAGACTACACTCCCCCATATTGTTATTTTTCCACCAAAACTGCAGAGACGGATCTCTGGCGCCGAGCTCCAGATGGCAGGTGGCTGATGAGCGCTCCTATGCAGCTGCGTCGTAACAATTCAGCCTTTTTATGGGCCCGTTGCGGCACCGCGGCTCATGTTACGACGGCTGCTTGGGCTCAGATTTGTGCTCCATCTGATGGGGGGAGAGTCAGAGCCACAGCTGATGTCAGCAGCGTCTGAAAAACTGCACACCGGCTCTCGTGTTTACCATCAAATCCGGCATCAAATCCGAGGAGGCTGGCGATGCCGGAGGAAACAGCAGAGAAGGAGGAGAGGCCCACCGTCCCCGATGATGTGAGGATTATTTCATGTTTTCGTGCTTGTGAGCACACAAGAGGACAGGAGAAATGTGATAACGGGAAAGTGGGAACGTTTTACTTGAAGATATCTAGCAGTGATAGATTGGCATGGAAACCACAACCACAAGCACGGTGACCGTCTGTTCATTTTTAGAAACTCAACTTTATATCTTATCGGTTTTTTTTTGTTTTTTTTTTACTAAGGTGCACTGAAAATAAAAACAGAATGGAGCTCCAACTTAAAAAAAAATGTGTTAATTGGTCACAAGTAATTGAATAAAGTTTGTCAGACTTACTTTATTTCATTTACAACCTAATAAACTTAACTTAATAACTTCATATGATTATTTGTCACTAGTTAGCACAGTATATTAAAGTTGGATCACCTGTTCTTTTTTCTCAGTGTATGCAGAAAGCAGATTAACCTGGCTGAAGGTCATAATATTACCACAGAAAACCAATAAAGGTTTTTGTGAACCAGCGCACATGTCTGAAGGCATGTGAAGAAGTAATCCAAATAAAAAACCCAACACTGACGCCACCGATGCGTTCACTGGCGTCAGAAACACCAGGATACTTCTCCTTCCCCCAGAGGGATCTCTGAGGAGAATCTACTCATCGTTAGTCAGGAAGTTTCAATGTCTTTTTAACGCATCTACAAGTTTACAAGTGTTCGCTCTACCAGGCAAACAATACCCCTGTAACTGCTTGTGCAATGATTGCACATAAAAGTTAAAATGCCTCTTTTCATTATTGGCGCCACATTAACAGCTTGATTAGATGCAGTGAAAGACTTTTTGTTCTAAACCATTATAGTTCTGGCTGCATGCTTAGAGCCATTTTCCTGCTGGAGAGTGAACATCACTTTCAGCAAACTTTAAAATCGGCTAATCTTCTGACTGTCCTGGGAACGGATCTCTGGTGCTTCTGCTTCTGCTCTCTCTTTGCCCGACAGATACGTTTTGAGACGTTCAAATGGGCTCTAAAGTTCTCCACAACTTTACTTTTAGGTTTGTTCACTAAGGTTTTCCAACAAACTCTGCAATCCATATGCCATTAAATTAATAAACACTAGTGGAATCAATCAGTTGGCTTCTTCTTGAGTACAGCTGGTTAAGATAGATTTTATTTTCAAAGAATCAGAGTAAGTGGGGGGCAAATACAAAGTTTACCCTGTAAAAAAATAATAATAAATATTTCTCTCTCCACTTCACGCAGATGCTGATGGAGTTTGTGGAAGAAGAAAAAAATCAAGGTGTATGCATCTCTCTGTAGAGCACTGTAGCTCCTTAAAACGTGGTTTTAAGTCTTCCACAGATGGTTAAATATGCACACATAGTTTGGCCTCCAGTTGTCTCCATGCAGACTCTGGAGCAGATCTCCTACACCGCAGTGAGGACATAAATACTTCACATCCGGGAAGATATTATGTCGGTGCAAGCTCAATTCAAACGGGAATTTCGGAAAACTAGGAGACTGCGCTAAAACCTTGTTTGCTTCGATCCACATTTGCTCGTCTCTAAAAACGGTTCTTGAATGAAAGGAAGCTCGGGTAAAGCTTTACTCTTTGAATAATTAATCATTTACCGGCACACAGTCATCCCTGTTGGCAGTGGATGTGAGATTATTCTAAATATGCATTGCACGAGTAAATTTCACTTTGTTTTAAAAGAATTTGAAATACTAAAGCACAAGATAAGGCGGAAATGTGAATTCCAGCTGGGAAGGGAATTGTTCCTCTGTGCCAAACTTCCCTGGAAAACCACTTAATTTAAGAAAGAGCTGCTTTCCCCCCCACAATGTCCAAAGTAAAAACCATTATTTAAGGTTTCCAATGAGAGATTTAATATTACTATTAAATTCCGCAACATTACTGTAATTCTTACAACCCGTAGTTTATTAGTACACTTTGCAGACTTCAGTACTCAAACTGTTTTCAAACTAATAAGCGGATGATTTTTTTTTTTTTTTTGCCGAATATTAAAAAGGATATTTAGGTGTTGGGAGTTTAATTATAACCTACATTTTAAAAACTATTAGACCTGGTTTAATGATGGTTTCCCGCGTTTGTTTTGATTCAGGATGTAAGTTTGGGGGGGATAGGAACAGTTGGGGTTCGGTCCTACCGTCGGGTTGCGGCTCCTCCTTTAAAGACACGGTTCCGTCCCGGTGCAGGAGGATAGAGGACGGGTCCTTCACCCGACCGGGTCTCCCGGACGGCGGGCGGGGCACCCTGAGCCCGCTGCAGCACTGGTAGCACACCGCCCATGCCTGCTCCTCGTTGATGGGCTGCTCGTAGGACTTCAGCACCTCCTCCAAAGACAGCTCCCGGGGCTCGGCCAGGTCCCGCACCTCCGCGCGGTCCGTGGGGGCGGTTACACGGGGATCCCCGTCCTCTGCGCTTCGGTTGGTGGATCTGGCCATGACTGCGATGCCGCGGAGCCCATGCTTCACTTCGTGAGCAGCGGGGACATTGACGCCGAGCGCTGCTTGGCCCGGTCTCCTGCGTACCGCTTGATGTGTCGTCTACTACCGCAGCTGCACCGCGTTATCTCCTGTGCTGTCAAGGCAACGAGTGGACACAACTACATCCGGTTTGGCGCCTTACAAAAATAAAAGCATTTTTAAATGGCAAAATAAAATCGGTGACTAAACTGGAATAAATTTCTTTATTTAAAGAAAAAGTTACAACTTTTAAGCCAGAACTTAAGGTCTTTTCCTCAGTGGCATTTTCTAATGTATGTTTTTTGGACATACATGTATATTCAGAGCCTGCAGGTTCTACAGACAGCACAGGAAAACTGTCATTGCAGATCTCCTTGAGGAAACCATCAATACCATGAAACATGGTGATGGCGCCATCATGCTGTGGGGATACTCTTATTCAACAGGACCAGTGGAGCTAGTCAGAGCTGAAGGGAAGATGGGTGGAGTTAAATGCAACAGTTTAACATTCATTGTTGTCACTAATGAGTTTTAAACAGTTAAATTAGATATTAAAGATGAACTGAGAAATAGTCCAGTTCTTTTTCTCCTCATCCCGGATAAGATGCTTCTCATGCTGTCTGTTGTTCAGGAGCAGCTTGACATGACGAATTTCACATTTTAAACCCATGCATGAGTATAATAAAATTTTTTAAACAATATTCTAATGTCATGAAACACTGAATTTTGAGTTTTCAACATTTAGAATCATCCAAATGTCAATAAAGACTTCAAATATGTCACTCCATATATGTAATGAATTTATATGATATACAAATTTCACTTTCTGAAATATGTAATTTTTTTTTTAAAATGCATTTTTTCACAATATTCAATTTTTTTCAGCTGTACTGTGAATTTTCATTGTTTTTAATTGGAATTTGCGGAGAGGCAACAGCGCCCTCTGGAGTTACAATATCCAGCAGGGGAGAGTCTCTGGATGACGTCACCGCTGCTAAGAAGTTTAGGGCATTTTAATTTTTTTAGCCTGTTAATATTGTGCTATAAAAATAAAAACAGCAGGTATGGGAGAAAAAAAAAAACAAAGAAAATGGAAACATTATCAACACTAATTAAATTGATTTTACATAATTACATTCAAATGCACTTGTAAAATACATGGATGCTACAGAACCAGGCAGGAGGAAGTCAGGAGGAAACCGGCCTTACAGGTTTGAAATGTTGCACCTTATTAAGCAAATCTGCTGAGTCAGCGCGTAACACAATCCTAAATAAGTCAGACAGTATGCTGTTGTAGACATGCAAGACATCATTTTCCATAAAGCTGCTGAAGCAAAGCATTCAGTCGTTCAGTTGCAGACTTTCTCCAATTTATGTATTTCCCATAGAGGTATTAGTTGAAAACAAAAGAGACGTGCTGTTGGTCCTGTGGCTTTTGGAGACCTTTTTATTTATTTATTTATTTTAGCATCTCAGTGTTGCTTTCAGGGTGAACGTGCTTGGTTGGACAGCCGGACCTGGACACAGTGGTTGTTTTTCCTACTGTGGATTTAAAAATCATTTTAGACCTTCTCAGACTCCAGACCAGACTCAGGAGCTGCTACAGTCTTCTTCCTGGAAGCTTCAGGCAAGTGTTTTTTGGACTTCAGCCTTGGTGACCACAGTCACTTAAACAATCAGGACAGGAGCACCAATAAATATCTGCAGTTCAAACCTTCTTCTATATGCTATGAGCAATGCAATGTCAGGCTTTGTAAGTGGAAACAAATGCCCTTATTTATTCCTCACCTGAAAAAAAACATTAGTTATTAGCTATTAGGTCTTACTGTTTATTTTAATTTCTCAGTATTGTCAAAACAGATATTAAAGATCAGCTACAAATATATAAATAAACGGAATGAGTATATGTCAAAATCTTAATTGTAGGATTGATTTATGTTCTTATAAATAAAGGCAATTAGGTAATGTCATATGTTGGAACTTTATAACTTTTTTTTGATATTGTTAAAACTAGATCATTTTATTTAAGGTTACCTGCTGTCAGAATCTGATACTGGATGTGTAAAACATAAATCATTAGGGAAAAAAAACCTTGGAAATATCAGAAGAGATATTCTCCATTTCTAGCTTCTCTGTGCTGAACTTAAACCAAAACACATATTCTTCTAGTAGAGTAATTTGCTGTATGTGCATTAAGAAAAAAGAACCAGTTCGTCATGCTTTTCTTTTGTCTGTTTTTTTTTTTTTCCACAGAAAACACGGCGACCTCAGATCAACTGAGACCTGAAATTAAACTGCAGCAATGTGCCGCCAGAACAGATTCAACCCCAAAACCGCGACTACCCTGATCATCGTGCACGGGGCGGCAGTGGTTCTCCTTTGCAGCTGGTTCGTTCACTTCGGCCCCTGCAACTTCGCTCCCGCAGGCCCCAAAGTTCACGTTTTGCTGCTGTCCTCGTGGCGGTCGGGTTCATCCTTTCTGGGTCAGGTTTTCAGTCAGCACCCGTCCGTTTTCTACCTCTCAGAGCCCGCTTGGCACGTCTGGACCAAAAAGTGGACGTCTGGCGCGCAGGCTCACCGAATAGCAGTGAGGGATCTCTTACGGCATTTATACCGCTGTGACTTTTCTGTGATGGGTTCCTACCTTCCAGAGAAACGCAGCGTGTCCTCCATGTTCATGTGGACTCACAGCCGGGCACTGTGCTCGCCGCCGGCCTGTCCCCTTACGGCCACCAATGACACTCAGTGCCGCCAGATATGCCATGCTCAGGACATGAAGAAAGTGGAAGAAACCTGTCGTGGATACTCTCATCTCGTAATTAAAGAAGTGCGATTTTTTGAGCTGGAATCCCTTTATCCCCTTCTGCAAGACCCAAACTTGAACATCCGCATCGTTCATCTTGTTCGAGACCCGCGGGCCGTGATACGGTCGAGAGAGGAATCAGCCAAAGTGTTGAGGAGGGACAACGCCATCATTCTGGAGCACCGAAACGTGCCAGCGGCTGAGAACAACTACAAAGTGATGCAGGAGATCTGCAGAAGCCACATACGCATCAACGAAAGAGCAATCCTGAAGCCACCTCCTTTTCTGGAAGGTCGCTACAAAAGGATTCGGTATGAAGATGTGGCACGCAACCCGCTGAAGGAGATGAACGACATTTATAAGTTTGTAGGCTTGAAGATGACTAAACAAATGGAGGAATGGATCTACAAGGTGACCCACGGAAAAGGGAAAGGCAGCAAGAAAGAGGCTTTCCAGATCACCTCTAGGAATGCCATCGAGGTGTCACAGGCGTGGCGCACCGTGCTGCAACACAGCAAGGTCAAACGCATTCAGGAGCTGTGCAAAGGGGCCATGTCGCTGCTCGGCTACCGGACAGTTGACAGCGAAAAAGAACAGAAGAGACTCGACATAGATCTGCTGGTTCCGCTGGAGTTCAGATGGGGGTCAACGAAGAAGACATGAACCTTGGATTATCACCAAAACTGCTCAGACGCCCCACTGGCTCTCTATACACCAACCATGTTTTTGCTACATTTCTGACAACTACAAACCTTCACACACAGTCAAATGACCTGTCATCTCATTTGACTGAGTTCATAAAGCCAGGAGTATTGCATGACAAGCTGAGTTTATGTTGTCACGACAAACCCGCAGGAAATGCACGGTGGAGCAAACTGTCTAGCCACTAGAAAGGACTTTATTGTGACATAGACTGAAAGTCAACAGCAACAGTAATTCTGATCAGTTTTTACTTCTTGAGCAAAGTCAAAAATACAAGGTGCATATCGACTAATGTGAAACGTTTGTAAAGTTCAATAGTTTTTCTCATTTCACAGAGAAAACTTAATATATAAGCATTTATAAATAGAATGGGATATTTAAAACCTATTATTTGTTGTAATATCATGTAAACCAAATGTTTTAAACAGAAATGCAAGACTTTTGGAAAGTATGCTCATTTTTATGCACTCGATAATTTGGTTGGGGATCCTTTTACATCCGCATCATTGACTGTGGAAACTTTCGACTGGATTGCCAGCAATGTGGATCCCGAGTCTCACAAATACTTTGTGAATAGCCGCTTGTCTCCTTTGGACAAAAAAAAGCTCCTTCCAAGTTGCCATACTATTATTTTGTGTCAACATATTTTCTCCAGTTCTTTTCTTTTAAACGTTTTTTAAAGTTCTCGCAATACACTGAATCTTTGCAAAATTACTGAAATATGAACCAATTTTAATGCTTGAGGCCATTTTTAAAAAAATAAACACAATACTAAAGCATTGAATCTGATCACATTTTATGTTTTGTCATTAAAAAGATGTCAAAAGAAATATTTATTTCTTGTCCTACACATGGCACAATAATAAAGCCACACCATAATTTATACATCCCATGAAAAATATCTTCAACGGACAAAAATATTGAATTTCCTTATGCTGAAATAAGGAAATGAATGCAATAACAGTGCATTCAAAGTATGCATGTTGAGTTTGGAGTCAAAGACTCAATAAGAAGTCAAAGGGACACAGATTGCAACATTTAGTTTGAAATTAAATTGTAAAACATGACAGAAAACACTATGGCAAGTGAAAATTTAGCCAACATTTATAACCTGCCAGAATTTTACGAAATTAGGATTAAACCTTTTCTTAGCCACAACATTCAGCTGCACAAAAACCCAACTCAGAGTTTAACGTATGACAACTAAACCTCCAACAGCAAAACATTTAATGTGGTGTAATGAGACTAAAAACTCTATGAAGGGCATAAAATTTACCAAAATCTAAATAGTTAAATATAAATAACTAAATAATTGAATTGATAACTAATATGCATCATTGAATAAGGGAAAATAGCATTTTCACTTTACTTCCTTATTCCACAATCAGCATTTTTTTAAGGATTCACAGAGGGTTAAAGTCCGTGACTTACAGATTTGTTGCAAAGCAAAAGGAAAAACAATGAAACCACTCCATGAATTAATAAACAATAATAAAAAAAAATGCAAGAAAAATAGTCAACAAAAGATGCAATAATGAACAAAAACACACATTTATTCTGTACCTAAATGTAATTTGGAACCATTATGAAAAAATTTAATATTTTAAACTTTTTGATTGTTATTTGCCTTTTAAAACCCCATAGAAACCCTTCACCATAAATAATACAGAACCAAAGATCTGTTTTTGCCATTGGTAGATTTTTTATGGATATTTTTTTAAGACACATTTTGCTCATGATGTCAAACATCAAGTTACTAATCACTTGATGTTTTTAAAACATCATTAGTCGTCACTTTTGGCCATTCTTCACTCACAGGTGCTACCATAACAGTAGCTAGTTGTGATTATTAATTTGACTATGAATCTTGTTAACCATGATTGCAACAATGATAGGTTTTTATGTTGCTCTGGTTTCCAAACTTTTTTGTCACTTGGGCCAAAATCACCAATTCAAAACTGCTGAGGGTCCAAAAGAATATAAATAAGTAAAAGGAATACAGAAACAAATTGTGCATTTCTTTTTACCTGCACACCTACAAACTAAGCATGCAAGAGAGAGGAATGTCTAAATTGCCATGGATGCCACACAAAACTAATTAGTCCAAAGGTCACAAACAGCTCTAGGGTCACACTTTGGAAAACTAATTTTACCAGTAGGTGGCGCCAGAATGTCAATTATTCAATTACCAATTTTAAATACAGCAGAGCAGGTGCTGTATTTAAAATACAGCTGTCTGTCATGTAAATGTGTCATTATAGAGAAAAAAATTATATCCACAGGTTGATGATATAGAACAAGAATAAAGATTAAAATCATTGTCGACATGCAACAGTCACAGGCCAGATCACGCAGATTATTAGTTATATTTTCCCAAAATAAAAATTCTGTAGGGATGAGCTAAGACCATTTATCCAGTATTTGTACATCTTGTTATAGAGTCTGGTGACTGTAAATGCAGTTCTTCATATTTTCTTCATCACAGAGTCTCTCCACCCTTCAATAAGTTTTAACATCTCAACTGCTGAGATTTGCAAGTATAAAATATAATATACTGACAAATATTGCATCCATCCAGTCCTGCTTCAACTGTATATATGTTGTTACTTTCGTGCACACACTAATGCTCCTTTTCTTTGGTAGATTGAGAACAGATCTGGTACATGTTTTGGTTTGAAACATAATCTGCACGATTCCTTCCCAGATAATTTGCTTATATGAAAATAAAGGGTATTTTTAGGATTTTTAGCTTACTTCTTTTAGTTCATGGAGCTTGTTTTATGGGAAAAAGCTAAAATAAAAATAAAGGTAAGGCAATTTTAATTATATAGCACATTTTCAGCAACAAGGTAATTTAAAGTGCTTTATAAGAATTAAAAAGAAAAACAAACAAAGGATATAATAATGTTGATCCAAAGTATGTAAACTAGATACTCCTATTCAGGGTTGCTCGATAAATATAAGTATCCTCTGGTCTAATTCCTATTCTGGGTTGGGAAAACAGGAGTCTAAAAAGTAGTTGCTAAGGTAGATTTTTCTGGATTCAAAGTTTGTACTTGAATCCAGAAAGGAGGTTTGGCTGGTGCAGGAGACAACGGAGAGACTGGTGCTGGAACCGGAGCTGGGTTGGAGGTATGATTTCTTGCAGATAGAGGTCATATAGTCCAAGAACCAGGTCGAACAGGGTCGGATGACCCTTGTAGTGCTGGAGGAGTTGGAGGTAGTCTGTGTCCGTGTACTCGCTCCAGGTCTCTGGGCCCATGATGAAAAGTGGCGTTCCTCACCGTTAGTGGTCGGGTCCTACTGTCATGAGTTGAGGTGGAGGTGGTGAGAGTGAACGCAGGCAGGACCCAGATTGAGAGGTGATGATGATGATTGATTTAATAGACAGTAGCAGAAACAGTCCAGTTCAAGCGGCACGGCAGAAAACTAAGCAACAGCTTGATACCGGTAGCAACTGAAACTAATAAGACTGACATACAAGAGCTAACGCCGTCACAGGACTATACAGTTCAACTGTGACGACTAAGACAATTACTGACAACGACAAGATGAGGACCCGACAAGAGACAAAGACAACAGGTGGACTTAAATACACAGGGAGGGTANTCNGNGAATGAGACACACCTGGGAAGCAATCAACGGGGAAGACGCAGAAACAACAGAGACTCAGGACAAAAACTGAACACAGAAAAACCTTAAAATAAATACACAGAAACACGGATCATGACAGTACTCATCCTTGTATTGGGTTGCTAAATAATGTTCCTGTCCTGGACATAGTTTTTTCTGGATTCTAAGTTCGTTCTAAGTCCTAATAAAAAGCACATTAAAGTTAGAAATGCGCTGATTTTATCAGTTTACTTGTGTGTTAATTACAGGATTCTTTTCCAGAAAACAACCTCTGAGTATGTTATCAAGTATGAATAACTGTGCATCTTTTTCTGTGACTTACATTTTTTTTAACACAACAAGAATCCAGCACTTGCGTCTAAGTTTGTTTTTGATAATGTTTTTTTAGGGATGCACCGATTGCGGTTTTCTGGTCGATTGCCGATCTTTTAAAAAAGCCTAACTTACCGATTCCCATTTTGGCCAATACCATTTTTTTTTGTCTGAAATGTAGCTCAATATATCAAGAAAGTTGTTGAATTGGCAACATTGAGGTGACTATTGTTAACTGTAAATGTGCAGACATGACCTGGTCGGCTGGTTTGTCAGTCAAACTTCTCTCACTGGAGAAAAGAAAAGCACAGTGGTCGATTTTTAGACCTTTGCCGAGGTTGATAGTATCTGTGGTTAAGATCGACTTCACATGTAAAAATCGGCCGATCACTTATCTCCTAATTAAGGAAATCAGCCGGCCGATAAATCGGTGCACCCCTACTTTTTTGGTCTAACCTGGAAGCTGAGCTCTTCATGGCTGCCCAGGGTCCAACAGGTCGATATCGAGTCTCTTCTGTTCTTCTTCGCTCTCTACCGTCCTGTAGCCCAGCAGCAACATGGCGCCTTTGCACAGCTCCTGAATGCGCTGGACCTTGCTGTGCTTCAGCACGGTGCGCCAAGCCTGCGACACTTCAGATGCGTTCCTGGAGGTGATTTTAAAAGCTACGTTCCCGCCGCCTTTCCCCCGTCCATGCGTCATCTTTTGGATCCATCCCTCCACCTCATAGGTCATCTTTAAACCTACAAACTCATAAATACTATTCAACTCTGTTAGTGGATTTCGTGCCACGTCTTCGTAGCGAACCAGTTTGTAGCGACCCTCCAGAAACGGAGGCGGGTCGAGGAACCCCCTCTCATAAATGTCCAGGTGACTGCGGCAGATTTCTCGTACGACTTCGTACTGCCTGTCGGCCGCGGACACGTTTCTGTGCTCCAGGACTATAACGCTATCTCTGTCGAGGAGGTACGCTGACTCCTCCCTGGACCGCATCACCGCCCGAGGGTCCCGGACCAGATGAACCACTCGGAGGTCCAGGTTGGGGTCCAGCAGAAGGGGATAAAGGGACTCCATCTCAAAGAAGCGAGTTTCTTTTAAAACCACATGAGTGTATGTTGTGCAGGCGTCCTGCGCTTTGTCCAGGCTTGCAGAGTGACACGCTTGGCTGCAGTGACTCTCATTGGCTGATTTGACGGGACAGGCCGGCGGCGAGCACAGCGCCTGACTCCGGGTCCACATGAAAAAGGAGGACAGACGAGGGTTTCCTGGCAGGTAGTCTCTGATCAGCGAGAAGTCGCACTTGTATAAACCCCACAGCATTTCCCTCACAGGCACTCGGAGACTCTTTGCCCCGGATTTGTGATTTCTAGTCCACACGTGCCACGCGGGCTCCATGAGGTAGAAAACAGACGGGTGCTGACTGAACACCTGACCCAGGAAGGACGAACCAGATCTCCATGACGACAGCAGCAAAACGTGAACCTTGCGGCCTTCAGGGGGAGGAGAGTGACGGGGGCTGATCCTGGTGTACCAGTCATAGAACAGCACCACTGCTGCCCCCTGCAGGACGCCCAGGAGAATTAAGGTTCTGAATCTGCAACGGGGAATCATCGTGAACTTTATGTTAATGTAGGCTTCAAAATCTGAAGTCTATTTCAGCCTTCTTTTATCCTTTGTGGTGCACAGACACATTTCTTCTGAAAAAAAAAAAACATGCAAAAAATAGGAGTTAGAAATTCGTCAGTTGCTTGTTGAAACAAATTCTAGATGTACAATTGTAATGAGTTCAGCCAGTTTCATAAATTTGGGCATCAAAATGAAAACTACATGCAGAAGGTTAAAGTGAGGTTGAAAAAAATAGGATTTAAATTACTTTGAAAGCGTCATGCTTGTGTTGCCAGGGGAATAATATCAGAAACTGCTGATTTGCTGGTATTTTCACTCATAATCATCTCTTCTGCTTACAGAATGTGGTCTGAAAAAGACAAAATACCCACTGAGCAAAACACGTGTAGACGAGTACTTGAATTCAGAAGGATTCAGGATGTGAGGGTGGAGCCATCACCTGTACAATCTTTCATTGTAACAAAGCTAAATATTTACCTTCTTTTACTGCTTACAAAGCATAAATATTATAATAATGCTTCAGGTAGCTGTTAGGAAAGTTCTCGACTGAACAGGCCATTTTATTATGAACTGCTTTTATTCAACAATGTGTCTGAAGCATTCCTGAGATTTTGGTCCATATTAACATGATTGTTCATGTGGTAGTATTTTTGGAACCAACCGTTTGCCCCAAATGATGTTAAAATTGGCATCTGAGCTTCCTGTTGGACTATCTCTCTAGAGATGTCCGTCTCATCGCCTACCAGAAATAAACTTAAGCTTACAATTTCAAGTCTGGACCTGCATCTGTACGTCTGCTTTTAATCAACCAATCAAGCAAGCAAATTTTATGAGTGTAAGTAAAATATATGGCCTTTTACCTCAATACCCAAATATTCAAAAGAGGTAAAATGACCCATTAAGATTTTGTTACAATTTAAGCCACGTCTCTCCCTTTTTTTATGTTTTCTATTGTCACCGGAAAAAAAAATTGTAATTCTGAGACACTTATTCAATTAGTACAGAAGCAACCATGTTTCTGTTAGAAATCAATATTATGCTGGGTGGAGAAGTCATTAATTAGTAAAGCTTTTGGTGTTAATGACTGAAAATTTAAAAGAGCCCGTTTGAGTGAGCTGGTGGGAGTTTTAGTTCCTGAGATTGAGGTTCCTTTAGTAAAGGGATGGGTTTGATTTCAGGACGCTGTAATTTGTATTTTTCTGTTTTTTTGTAAGTTTTCTTTTGGTGATCCGGACAGGCACCGTCCTGTTTTGTAGTGCTGGGAGGCCAGACACATTCTGGAAGAAGACAGGTGTAAAGATAATGTCTGGCACCCAATCTCAGACTTCAGAAACAATTGGAGAATCGGGGAATCTGGGGAATCAGAGTCAGGTAGTTTTGTTTTTATGCACTAAGAAAATAAGTAATTTTATCTGGGAAACATGTTTTTTGGGAGCTCAGGAGAGAAGTGTCCGGCGAAAAGTGACGATCCAGTTTCTCACTGAAGTCAAGAAAACCCAGTTTAAGTGACGAGATTTCTGATGCGCTGCCCTAGCCTGGATGAGATGAGGCCTCCGATCCAGTAGGTGCAGCAGGGGTAGGGACTAGAGCAGGGAGGAGGGGGGGAGAGCAGTCGCTGCTTCCCCAGTTGATGTTTTATTGTTTGGGAACAGCCTGTTCCTGATAGGCGGTGGGTCCCATCCTAATCAGGCGTCCTTCAGCCGTCCGTCAGGTCTGAAGAGGTGGAGTGAATGTTCTCCGTGTGTGAAGGCTCACAGGTTCTTGTTGAAGTGCAGCAAATCTGTTTTTCAGTGGGATTCCCATGGTGTCGGCAAGCTATAAAATTATAAAACTGAATTTATGGAATAACTTTACCAGTCAGTGCCATCAGTAAGGACGAAATACCAGGCAAAATAAAAGCAGTGGTGTGTAGGACACCTTAAAAATGTTAAAAGCTGCACAAAAGTTTAAGAGTTGTAAATGGAAGTATTTGATTAAAACTGGCTCTCCTGCTACAAGATTCGAAATCTTTAGAGATGTTTTTTTATCTTCTTGCTAATTATGGTGAAATATCTCCCACTTACTACAAGTTTGATCACTTTTAGTTAGTAATACACTCAAATTTGTTGCTCAGTGTAAAAGTGAGCCGCTTGATCTTCGTACGTGTTTCTTCCCTCCCCAGCAGGTCGTTAATGCAGATAAGGATTTGTTCTTATTAACTCACCTGGTTAAATAAAGACTAAATAAATCAAATAAAACTCTCCTCATTTAGTAAGTAAGAAATAAAAAAAGCATCATAATGAGAACAAATTCCTACCTCTGATGTCTTCGGTTTCACTGGTTTAACTAGGAGAGGCTGATGGGAAAGAGGTGCCAGCAGGATGTGAGACTTATTGTCTCCTCAGCACATGCACACAAAGGAGCTGCAATGTAAATGGACAAGCAAACAGGATAAAGTACAGATAAAATCCTGTGATAGATGATCCTTTTGTTCAAAAGACCGCCTTGAAGTTCACCCTGCTTTCAGGCCAGTAATCGATTCAGTTTAAGTTTATTTTTCATATTTAATTTTTAATTTAATTTTTAACCTCTCATATTTGAGAGGTTTAATCTTTAAACCTCTCAACAGCCATATCAGTATTCAACATAAACGTAAAGTTCACTCAAGTAAAAGTAAAATAAAGTGTTTGGTATAAAGGCTTCTCAATTACTCTGACTGATAAAAACATCTAATTTAATTGGTGAACATGTTTCAATCACACAGACAAAATTATACGCTTATCTGAAAATTCTGGTATTTTGCAGAGTAAAGTAAAAAAAATAATAATAAATGAGTAGAAATAAATATACAAAAATCAAGAAGGAACCAACTCTTCCTAATCCTCATTTCACGACATAAACATCTAGTTCTACTTTATTTGCAGAACACTTTACTTTCAGTAAATTGTGAATTCAATACACTGTAATATTCAGTAAGTTGCTGTTTATGGCCGACGCATTATGAGCGACACACTGCTGGGGATCTGCGTTGCATTCCTGTGATATGCAATAATTTACCACGGGAAGCTTTAATGGAATAAGAACAACCTCTCTACACCTGATACTTTATCAAATTAGTAATCACCAGCTAAGCTAGGTCAGAGTTTTTCTTTTAAATGTCTTCTATGTCAAGGCATACTGCAGTAACAGTTCCGCAACAGCTTAAATGTCTCCGTATTAACCGGATAATATTACTTAACCTGTTGTTGCTCTAAGCAGACGCTGTCTGCACTGATGAGGTTTTACTCACTTCAGCATGCCGAGTTTGGAGCGACTTCGACAACAAGGACTTTCAGCCTCTTTTCTCATCAGTCAGCTAATAACTATTTGACCACTGGGGGGCGCTCACACACTGCAAAGACCATTACTGGTAATTTGCAGGTAAGTGACGTCAGAGCTACTGTAGGTAGCTCCATCCATGCTGTGGATGTTATGTAGGCGTCTGTATGATTAGAGGAATGTACAATTCCTGGCAAACTAATATTTCTTAAAATGAGGAGAAATAATGTACCAGTCAATTTATTAAGCTAACTTTGACAGCATCTTGCTAAACCTCTTTGGCCTTCAGAACTGCTTTGATTTTTTTTTTTTTTATGTACAGATTCAACAAGGAAAACATTCCTCGGGGATTTTGGTCCATCATGCAGCTCCTGCAGAATCCCTCGGTCCACCGTCCCAAAGATGTTTTGTTGAACTGAAATCCGGTGACTATGGAGACCAGGGGATAAACCAGACAATAAACACATTGTCATCTCCAGGAAACCAGTTTGAGAGTTTTGTGAGACAGTGCATCTGTCAAACCAGGGCAAATCATATTATCTAGGCAGAAGAAATCTGTCACAATAATACCAAAATAAAAGTTTTTTTTTTATTATTATTATTATTATTAGTTGATCTGTGACAATTATATCCCCAGCTAATTGTTTTTAACTAACAGGATGGATAGTTGGACTGGTTTTTTGCTGCTTTAGCTCATCTACTTTAATGTTTAATTGCGTTGTGAGTTCAGATGCAACTCGCCCAGATGGTGATTCAAAGATATTGTGTTGGGTAATTCTCCCATGAAATCTGAATTTTTATAAGCACGTGTTCGTTCTCTCCTTAGATAGCATGTATCCAATGCTGTATTTGAATAAAACCCCAAATCACATTTTGGTATGTTTATTCCACACAAAGTCACTGTTATGGAGACCAATCCTGCAGCAACCTCAGCTAAAAGAGGACTTTGAATGTTGGTATGTGCTAGGATGAAGAGAAAAGGGTAAGGCCGCTTATATGTTTCACATAGCTTTAGCTTAAGCGAAAGAATGGGCTAATCAGATCTATTCAGAGAAATCATGAATGTGCTTTTTGAATAATTGCCCAATGGTTCTTGAAATACCTGTTTGAAGAGTTGGCGTTGTGTCTCAGGCTAAAACTTAATTTTCTAGATGACTCGGTTGTGAAGTATGAAAGACGAAACGTTTGAAACGTACATGTACCTCACAGTCACAATAACCATCTTAAAGTGAAAAATCAGGGAGGAAATGGAGAAGTTATATGAAGTCCAGCAATGAGTCAAGGCCTAATGGAAAGAGGAATAAAAGCTACACATTAAAACTTAACGGGCTCATGTTGCAGTTTTTCACCGACTTGTCTTACAAAATTAAATTAAAACAGAACAACATGATTACAAAATCACAGCTCCAATGGAGAAAATAGGGAAACAAAATAAATAAATGAATACGCAAAACTTAGCTTTGGATCTTCATTGTATTTTAAGCAAACACATCCAGGCACAATGTGGAATAAGCATTACAGAATCCCCAAGCTTTTCCAACAAAGATGAACATCTCCGAATTTTAATGGATTCCATTATGTTTACCAAACCTTGTTAAAAAATGCTGCCATATAATTGTTTTAAAAAAATCAAAGGGATAAAAGGAATATACACAGAAAGGCAGATACCTAAAACTAACAAAAATCCAATCAAAACAGTAAAAGCACCAAAAATCTGAAAAATGGTGGGCGAGAAACAAAACTTAAAATCTCAAATAAAAGTAAAAACACATTTAGTGCCGATTCCGTCTGTCAAGTGAAATATATCTACTGAAGAATCAGAGATACATTTTATACAAGGAGGTTCAGTGTCAAAACAAGAAGATCATGTCTGCTCTGACTATAAAGAATACAGTTAAATTAAATTAAAATACATTTTATTTAATACGTCTACAGACTGCATGAAGGTTCTACATCTACCATCTGTAGATGTAGAACAAAAGCAAAACAAACAAAAAAAAAGGTAGTTAAATTACTAATAACCTTAATTCATATACTCACAAAT